GGGGCAAAAGAAATTCATTATAACTTGCGTTAGGAGGCGAAAAGGGGTTTTAGCAAAAAAAAAACTAGGGCATCTACTAGCCTAAAACTCCGTTAAACCTTTATAATAAGTACGTAGTCTAGTAAGTGCGGAAGCTAGTAATAGGAATGTTATCGAAGCGCCGAACTAGGAGGTTAATCTAGCGCTAATGCGAAGCAACCTTAATCTTCGGCTCCTTATTCTCCTTCTTAATATCCTTAGCATAAGTTAAGGGTGCTCTACATAAGCAATGCTAATGAATCGGCACCTCCTGCTATAAGAAACGAGTTACTTAATATGCCTTTAGTGTAGGCAAAGGTACTATACCCCTAATCTAGCATCTCGGCACCTATAGTATTAATGTTCGTAGCGAGAACGCCCCTAAGAGAATTCGACTATCTAGCAGCTTTGCTACGTCCTCTACTAAGAGCTCGAATAGACATGGCTTATAACGAAGCATATAAGAAAACGCATACGAGAGGTCATTAGGGTCTAGTCGGCCTATCTACTCGTTCTACTCTAAGTAACGACTAGATAGATAGAAAACACGTAACAGATGTAGGGTTATAACCTATAATGAAACTAAGGCTCTACTCTTTTAAAAAGGAAGTAGAAACATTACTATTATGTTAATCCTAAGTAATGCGAAGCAGTAAATGTAACTACATCGCCATATGTAAGTGCTTAGATGCATCTTCTAGGTTTGTCCTTTCTCTGTTCATCCTCCTTTCTTATTGCTTTCCTATACTACCCTATATTTGCTATACATTATGATCCATATGTTTAACACACATATATAGACCGTAATACATAATATTTAACTCGAACACTTATTTTGTCGTCGATCTTCTCTCCTCTCCTCTATTATCTATACTACGATAATAATTATCTAAAAGCCTCCTAACGTTCCCGAATTATATCGTCTATCCCTATCCGTTTCGCTTCTATAGTTACCCTAAACTCCTGCTCGTAGAGCGCTATACTCTAACTATTATAAACGTCCTTATTAAATCCCTCGAAACATCCTAGCGACTTTACTCTCTCTATTTAAATTGCTTCTAATTTTGACTCGTTAAAAATCGCCCTATTTACATCGACGTTATATCTCGTAGCTTACTTAATCTCCTCTTTTACCTCTAATCTAATCCCCTCCATTACCTCGGGCCTAATTTGTAGTACCGTATTAGGTCGAATATTAAACATCTTATTCTTATCTGTTCGTATTCCGTCTATAGTCTACTGCCGCCTTTAAACACATCTCCCTTAGGATCCTCTCGCTACCGACTAATAACCCCTTTTACTTTATTACTCCTAATAGGGGTTTCTTGCTAATAGGGGTTTCTTATCGATTATGTCTTAAGTGCAGGACCGGCGAAAGCTCTTATGTTAGTGCGTCTATTACCGTTTTCGGTCGTAATAACTTAAGGCAGCATCGTAATATATCTTTGTTAATAGAATCGCGGCACTCGACCTTAACTATGTCGTGTTAGTTATCTTATTTAAATTCTTTTGTCATTTATACTAGGATTGCCGTAATTGGTAGATTTTTGAATGTGTAAATAACAACATATAATGGAGAAGCCGAAGGAATGGCTCTCTAATATACTTGACTTTTCGTAGAAATCATTTTTAAGTAAATTGCGTATTGTCGTACGGCCATAAGTCAATTTTCTTATTTTAAGCACATTCTATGAATTTTAAGATATATCTAGGAGTATAAGGGACACGTCTAGGTAGGTGTCTTTACCCGTAAAGATTCCATGTTTAACTCGACACTAATAGCATGCCTCGAAGACAAAACTTCCCCCCTAAATGGATTTAATTAATAGTAGAATGACGACTAGACGTAAGCTAAGAACTAAGTCAACGTACCTTTTATTGCTGCACTAAATTTAGCCTAAAGTGTAAGCTGTTATAAGACCGTTTAAGCAACGCTTAAATTCCGTAATAGGGGTAGTTAAGTGCTTATAAATAATCGTTAATCGTCTTATGTCCTTAATCTCCCCTACAAGAAAATATGGCAAAACACCGAGGCGCTATAAGGGTACTAACTAGATCGAGCTTAACTATATCGGAGGGCGTAGAGGATATTATATGCTATCGTAGTAATTTAGGTAGAGAGATAAGCGATCATAACTAATAGACCGAATCCGAAGCCGACGACTACATGTACGTTCCAATATAAAAATTTAGTGCATTCTAAATCCGAAGACCGTACTAAGCAAAATGCACGAGTCTAACTCTACCGCCATCTCGAGCTAGGACTAATGCGACTATATCTCTTCTAGTAGAGAAGACTATAACCTCTTACGAAACATTATTAATCGGATTAGCTAGTTATACAAAATCGAGTAAGACCATTAACTCGAACATTTCGGCTATGTCGTCGCCTACGAGTCTATGCTTATCTTTACTATTACTAGTTCGTAGGATTACGTCTCCTATACTAGCCTCTCTTACACTAGGTTGTCCTATACTAGCCTCTCCCCTTTTACTACTAAGAAAGCAAAGTAAACACGACAAGATCTAAGATAAAAAACATATAAAACGGCGAGCAATAATAGAGAGGAAACGTATAAAGAAGGAAGTAAAGAGACGTACGCTAAAAACATTAAATGATTAGCACGTTAATTACGAGAAGGGAGTTAAGAGTAGAGCTATAAAGAGCGACGCCTAAAAGCGCGCGAGGAGAAAAAAGGAGAGGGTATAGTAAGAGAAAGAAAAGGAGTAGAGAGACGATAAAAGAATCGAATAACATTAGAAGAGATTAACGACGAAGTAGAAGAAGACGGTAGCGACGGAATAGCGATAGAAGTAAGGGGTATTGTTCTTATAGATTCCCGCTAGACACGGAGCAGATTTTATCGAAGCAAGAACACTATACTAGTTATGTTTGTGCTCTAAGAGTCTAGCTAACATAATATAAGGAATACTGTCGTTTATAGATTAGATTATCGTTTATAGAAATGCTAAGTATATAGTTGTACGGGTCGACGATAGTTACATTAATGTAAGACCTTTAGTCTTTAATCTATACGAACACCTTCTTAAATGCCTTATTCTTAATGTTAGAGGCATCTTCTAGGTTAATAGACAGTCCCTTACTACTAGCCCTTAGATAGCTCGCGGTAATAGTAATCGAGTAGAGCACTCTAGGTAAGATATCCTCCTTCTTTATACGGTCAGATAACTACTTATAGCAGTTATCGAGCGCATAGCGAAGCAAGTTAAAAGGTAAGTCTTTTTTAACGATAAATTTAAGACCCTCCCGCTCGAGGACCTTACTCTTAAGGACCTTACTCTTAACGACAACAGCTTTAACTCTAATATCGATAGGGAACTCATTAAGTTCATTAACTTCCTTAATCTAAGAGACCTCCTCCTTATTATGGCTATCGACGACCATATTTACTACGCTCTTTAATGGCTTCCGTCGCTTCGTTACCTTCGCCTTCTTCGCCGTAGAGGGTGCTAGCTCGTTCTCCTTATTAGATTCTACCTCCTACGATAGTTGCCTTCGAAGTAGCGCATTTACCCCTAGTAGCGTATTAAGTTACGAGGGCATAAGGGGACAGTGTTCGGATAGGATAGTCTTCCTTAGAACCTCTATTTAAAAAGTTAATATCCCCCCCTCCCTACTACCGCTATCGATCTTATATCGGTCTCGGTCTTGCATTACATATCGGAAGCTTTAGTAGGCGCTAGCTTACGTTAGTTTAAGTCGCAGAAAATTGTTGCTTCTAACCCCGCTTTGATTATAACTTATATATAACTTATATTTAATCTATTATAAGGATAAGACAAACGCTAGACATTTACGAATGCCTTATACTCGAGTACTATATACTATAGCAAGATCCTAGAAGCTATCTAATCGTAAGATTAAAAAAGTTACTAGAGACATCGCCGCTAGACCTCCTATAATCTCCTATAACCCGAGGCGTATAAGAAACCTAAGAGGCATAGACGAGGCTTTAAAGTTCATGCTAGAGAAGGGTCAGGTTTTTGCCGCCTAATTATAAGCATTAGAGGATCGACCTATACCTAGCAAGCCTAAGGTAGCTCGGCCTAAATCGGTGTTCCTAGCTAGGTAAGCCGCTCCTAACGTACTTCGTAGTAGGTCTAGTACGCTACACTAAAACGACGAGCACTAACTAGTAGAGTTTAAACGCTAAGTAGAGTAAGGTCTACGCGATGCCGCTACCATACGACTAGAAGACTTCTAGCGTTAAGACAATCTTAATAACATGACTAAAGGGCAAGTTATAACCTATATAATCGAGCACGCCGTCTAACGGTAGTTAGATCCTAAAAAATATGCAAGAGATTACCCGATTGCTATAGCGCTAATAATTCTATCCGCGCAACTAGAATCCGATTCTAATAATCTTCCCTGCTCTATAAGTACTACCTAAAAGATTAAAGGTAGTCGGTTTAAAGCAAAAAGGGAGGCTAAGAGACGAGCAACAAAATTCTATAAGCATAAGGTAAACATAGTAGTTAACTATATGCTAAAGATAGCTAGGGATGCTCGCATTAAAGGGGTTAAGAATAAGAACACGATAAAGAAATAATAGAGGCGCACGAAGAGGAGAAGATAAGGTAACGACCTAATATGCCCGTAATTAATAGGAGAACTTAAGGATGGGAGTTGTCTATAGTGTTTACGCTAAGAAATGCTAGAAGATGCAGTGATATAAGAAAGTTATGGAGAGAGGCGGGGTTAGGAAAAGTTGGTAGGTAGAAACGGTAGGCATCGTCATCTAAAGAGGCTTAAACCATGTCACATAGGCTTCATTGTTAGACAAAAGCAGTGGATGTAGAAGATAATTATGCACTCATACCGAATGGATCTGTCAAACAAAAATGTTGTGTATCTAAAAAATAGGTAAAAATGATGATCTAGGTAGGTACTGTACTCTGCATCTCGTCAAAACAATTGTGCAGACGATCGGTGACTCTAGTAGGAGGTACAGGGTGACAGGGTGTCGGAGCTTGGCTCGCCGCGGCGAGCTTGGGCCCTTCGATTTGCTTCTATCAATCAACCAAGGAACCATGTGTCCACCGTGTTGCTGGAACAGGTCCCTCTTTTGCTACACTGACTTGTTTGTGCTCGATTCCATTCTCTGACAACTGCATCATTTTCCTTTCTACTACGAGAACATCTACTGTCCGCACCTTCACACCGCAACAGCAGTCCGGCGCATCGTCTGATCGAGAGCCCCGCAGTCATGCCTGTTGATTACAGCAAATGGGTATGCTTCTTCTCCTGTCCACTGCTTTAATTTCCCACTAACATCTGCCTCTAGGACGCCCTTGAGCTGTCCGACGACTCTGACATCGAAGTCCACCCAAACGTCGACAAGCGTTCCTTCATCCGCGCGAAGCAAAACCAAATTCATCAGCAGCGTGTCGATCGCAAACACCAAATCGAGACTCTGAAGTACGAGAAGATCATTAACGATGGCTTGATTGACCGTATCGATAAGCTGCTTGCTGCTCTCGACACTCACAAGCAAGAGGCCGAGCAGGCCCAGTCCGGCATTGAACGCTACATCTTCCAAGCCCTGGTCCAGAGCACTGGCTCTCCCGACAAGGACACCCCTCCACCTCCTCCAGGTGGTGTACATGCAAATGTTCAGGATCCTCCTCGCTACAGTAAAATGATGGCTGCTCTTGTCGATCAGGCTAAGCAGGCCGTTGACGAGGCTAAGCCTGCACCTTCCGCATACTATGGCGCCTTCGTGACAGAAGTCACCTCGCACAAGACAAAAATCCAGGACCTGCAAAGACAACTGTTCGAGAAGCTAGCTGAGCTCGAGAAGGAAGAAAAGGCCAAGATTACGAGCGAAAACATACGTACCGGCTTCGACAGCTCTCACGTCTCAAAGTCTTCCACCAAGCCTGGCGCCAGTCAACAATCATCCGGCCCTGAACTACTCAACCCTTCGCGTCCATCCATCCAGCATGCCGACAGCGGTCAATCATCTGGAGCCGATGCTGACATTGAGGATGAGTCGATTGTCACAAAGCCCACCACTGGTCTCGACAGTGACGACGATGACATGCAGGCCTCGCCGCTAGCAAGGAAGTTCGCCAAGATCAGGTACGGCGACTACCGTTCATCCCTGGATTTCATCTCAAACAACCCTTCGGTCATGGGCGAGAAAGAGACGGATGGTTTGCTCGTAGAAGCCTTCAATGCCCAGAGTGATGGTAACGACGACTATGCCAGACAGTGTGTTCACCAAGCTTTGTTGCTGCAGTACTGCAGACAGCTCGGTCGCGATGGTGTACAACTCTTCTTCAAGCGCGTAACGACCCAAGGTCACCAAGCCCAGAAGTTGTTCATGGACGACGTCAATTCGACTTACGCCAGAATTCGTTCGAGAACCCGAGAACTTGCCGAACAACGCAAGCGTGATGAAGCAGAAGGAACTGGTGGTGTCGAGCAGATTCAGCTGCACGCAGTCGATCCGAACACCACCATCACCATAGTTGTACCACCCGCTGATTCGACCGACGAAGATGCCAAGGAGGCCCGCGCAGTCTTCGAGACTTTCCCTCCGGGATTACAGCGTGCTCTAGAGAGTGGTAGCTTAGATAGAGTCAATGAAGTCTTAGGCAAGATGAGCGTTGATGAAGCCGAGCAGATCGTGGCTCAGCTGGGCGAGGGAGGCATGTTGAGCTTGGAAGAGGGTGTTATCGATGCGACGACCGAGGAAGGCAGAAAGCAAATGGAGGAGATTGAGCGTTCTGGCAAGATGCCTGAAGGCCAGGAAGGACGCGTGGTCGAGGAGACTGAGGACCCGGGTATGGACTAAAACTGTTGATAGAGCCATTGAAGCCTGAGGCAACGAGTTGCCAATTACCATGAGCAAACATGATCTTCCTGCGTTGCAGCGACGATACCTATGATATCGTCCATCAGACCCCCCTATCTCGTCGCGTCTGCAAATTTAGTAATAGCAACAGACAATCACGAGGTACCTGAATGTGGATATGAATGTCGTGATCAGGGGCCACTCGTACGATCTAGACGAATGAGCTGATCGGCCATCATTGACAAGATAAGCGAGGTGGCGCGATGTCGGGAGGAAGAACAATGACCTCTCAGAGAAGAAAGGCAGAAAACCAAGCCAGCAAAGTTGGCTCATGACACCGCAGCAAAGCGACAGTAAGACCACATAAGATTTTCAGAGCTAAAGTAAAGTCGATGACCACAAGTGCCAGCCGAGGTCGAGCAACCAGGTTAGCGGGTGCGGCCACCGATCGGGGCGAAAAACTCAGCCGTCGGGAGGACGAACAAGGAAAGTGCTCGACGGCTTTGTCGTATGTCTATTACTCGAACAAGAGCATTGAAGTGAAATAAGTCCTTATGAATGTGTTCAATGATGCTGTGTCAGGCGAATTGAGCATCTAGGGATCCATGGTGTCAATCTTATCGATCCCGGATCTTTCGAAACAATCGGTTTGGTGGGCGAGGTGCAAGGTGACGCCGAGCCTGCAGGGGCCAAGTGGAGGGCGTAACTGCCTTTTGGGAAAGCCGTGCGCCACGCCTCGCCGATGTCCACCTTCTACTTCCTGTCTTTCTGTTCCTTCCTCAACCACACAACTTCCGATTTCACGACTTGTCAGGCCAATTGCTCGCTGGCTTTGTTCACTATACACCTACCAAATATCGTCGAAGTGACTCTACGCATTGTCCAGAGGGGGCTCTTGAGGAGAAAGAACCTTTCCTTTCCTTTATCTTTATCTGATCGATCTCCTCGTGGTGAGTCTCAGCATCCCGATCCCCGCCATCGGCAATGACGAACCATCGACTTTTCCGCACTTCACGTCGTCGAATGTCAAGCGTCGCCTTCGCGTTCCTCATATACTAACACGCTCCCAAAGTAGCCACGCCGATACAAATCGCTCCGATGCGTCGCCATTCTCTCTCATCGTTCACCATGACGACACACACTCACAAGCACATTCCCACGACGGCGACATCACATCCTGACAACCCCATACCCACAGAGCCCGTCGCCATTCCACAAGGCAGTATGTCGCCGTCAAAGCGATCCGTCCATTCGCAATCGCAGTCGCCACGCTCGTCAGGCGACTCTCTTGGCGAGTCAATGGCCTGGTCTGAGGGAACTCTCGAATCAGAAATCTCGACGCCCTCGACAGAACTGCATGACCAGTTCGAAGACTTGACTCCCAAGGACAAGAAAAGCCCCATTGAAACAGAGGTCTCCAAGCGCCGTGCCTCAACACACCTCATCACATCGACAGCAGACGATATTCGCAAGCTACTCGGAACAGGCGAGACCGGCACCAAATTCCTACAGAAATACTGCTGTGGAGGTGGCTGCTGCCAACTGAAGACCCTGCCTCCAGACACAGCTCGTCCTGGCTTTATCCCTGTCGTACTTCCTGACAACGACGCTTTCCGAGGCCTTGGCCTCAAGATCAATGCCCTGACCCTTGATACTGGTCTGAGCGACATCGTGGAACTTCCTAAGCCCAACATCTCTCTGGAACCTGTATCAAAGGATGAAGCTCCTTCTCACCAGAGCACTGTGGACGTGCACCCGCCCACCTTTGTCCAACCCCATCCTCCCTACGACGTCTATTCTGCACCCGTCTTTCACGCTCGCCAGCTCACCAACGAGGGTGCTGAGAAGCGAACCGTACACTTCGATATCGACATCACTGATTACCCCAAGGAAGGCGATATCGACTTCAAGGTTGGTGGCGCCGTAGGTGTCTGTCCTCCCAATGAGGCAGCTGCCGTGGACAGCATTTTCAACAGAATCGGCACCCCCAAGTTCTTGCGCAATAAACCCGTCATGCTCAAAACCGCTGGCGGACGCTGGCCCACCATCTGGGGAGACGAGATGCCTCGTGAGCTGCTGACCACCCGTAGAGAACTTCTGACCTGGTGCGTAGATATTGCATCTACACCACCCACTAAGCAGTTGTTCCGCGTTCTGGCAGAGTACGCAGACGCAAAGAACGAGCGCAAGATTCTGGAGTACATGTCTAGTGCCCAAGGACAAGGCGCTTTCTGCGATATCCGCACTGGCCCAAATATCACTCTTCTACACCTTTTGGAGGCCTTCCCTTCTTCGAGACCTCCATTCGAACTGCTTATGGGCTGCCTCAACCAACTCATGCCTCGTTTCTATTCTCTTTCAAACGACCCTCACGTCTCTTCCGATAGAGAAGGACTTGCTGGAAGACGTCTTGTCGAGATTGCAGTCACGGTCCACGAGAACCCTGGGTACGACGGAAAGATGAGGACTGGTGTTGGTTCAGGTTACCTCGAGCGTGTCGCTCGCCACTTCATCGATGCTGAGAAAAAGGCAAAGCAATCGGGTGGCGAAGTTGAGATGCCGACCGTGCGTATTCCTATGTTCCGAGGATTGATGGCCAATCCTCTGTCCAAGAAGTTCGACTCGGATGGTCCTATGATTATGATCGGTGCCGGTGTAGGCATGGCTCCTTTCCGTGGCTTTATCCTCAATCGCCTGCGCAACTCAAAGTGTGCCAACAAGATCTGGCTCATTCAAGGCGTTCGTGACTCGACTTTGGACGAAATCTATTCGGGCGAATTGGGTGATCATGAGAAGCAGATAAAGAAGGTTGTCCAATCTCGAGCCAAGCCTCCAGTCGACCAGTCCGATGCTGGTGTGGTCGACATTCAGCCCAGAAAGGGTGGCGAGACAACCGGAAAGGTCGTGTCTGAGGTCCAAGCAAACAAGGCAGCCAAGTACGTCCAAGACGAGGTTCGCATGCAAGCAGATATTGTCTGGTTCGTCATCAATGCTCTCGATGGCCGCATTTTCGTCTGTGGAAGCTCCAGAGGCATGGGCGAGGGTGTGGAAGAAGCCCTCATTGACGTGGCCATGGACAAGGGCAACCTCAACTTCGAGGAGGCCAAGGATTTCTGGGCCCAAAAGAGAGATGTCGGTCAATACGTCGCCGTAAGTCTTGAGTCACCATTAATATCGCTCTCGACAAGTCACTAACTGATACTAGGAAACCTGGTAAATCTGCGTCCAGTGCTTTGTTTCGCATTCTCGACAGGCTGCTTCTGTGGCCTCTAGCTTTACGAGAGCCACATGCCTGCAGGACTTATAATTCGCCACCAGCATCACCTTGCTGGCATTTGTGATTTGACTGATAGCGTTCCGTACTTTGTCATTGTTCGGTACCACACCCCGTGGACTTTTCAGAGCCACCTAAAAGGCCGGTGTTGGATAATCCGTCATTTGGGTTGGCGTTTATGTTTTGCTATTGCTATCATTGCATGTTTGTGGGAAAGGGACCCACCGAGGGAGAAAGCAGAGTTGCGGCCACGGGCGTCTACCGAGATGAAGCGGCACGCTGCCCAATCACGGGACAAGAATGTATCTAGAATGGAATATACAGATAACATATGCTCGGCATCATTCTTATCGACCGCCCAGCACTCAAACCCTTCCGCGCTCAACCTTGGATCTCCCATCCGCATACCTCATATCTAAAAACGGCGGCACATCAAACATGTTGTAGTCGCTGTGGCTGAAACTATATCTGTTGGCCGGCCAATTCATCAACAAGTCCCTGTGTCTTTCATAATCTTCCGTCATCCTTTCCTTTACTTCTTCTGCCTCTGTTGGGTTCAATTGCCAGTCACCAGTGAAACTGTTGATGTGATCGACGATCTCCCTGGGGACTATCATACCCGGCGGTATAGCTGCAATGATGGCTTCTTCGGCCCACCATCTACGATCCTGCGGAACCACGTTCCTAGTCGAACATATGCGATAATATGGATCCACCAGCGATAAGACAACATAGCTCAAACATCCAGCTTTGTCCTTGTCGATCAATTCAACACCATGTAAATGGTGATGCAACATATTCGGCCACGCAATCAAGCGACCTTCGGGTAAGCCTACACTGCCTAGTTCCTGAAGAGCCGGTGCTTCGCATGGATAGCCAGGAACGATGTGTTCTTTGTCTGTGATGGCGAAGACGGTCAACACGTCTTCGAGGGCCTCATCGTCGTCTTTGACATCGCAGTGGTCATCGAGATAGATATCGTTCTCTTGACGGAATGATATCCCGGAGGCAATGGCGTTGGTTGAATCGAAGACGTACAGGGAATTTGCAACGATGTGGTCGTTTTTAGAACCTTCGATATGCCAGTGTGTTCCTCTGAAGTCTGGATTTTCCGGAGTCAACTTGACATTGACAATTTTGACAATTATCTGAAGTCCCTTGTTTCGAAAAGTGTCTTGGAGGTTTACGTTGTAAAATTCGTGATTGAAAGAGGGGTCTAGGTCCGGGCATTTGTATTGGCAATTAGAGCGTGTGAGATTCTCCTTGCAAATTTCCTCACTGACTAGCCCGGTCTTCCATTGCTGATAGCTGTATGCATCGCTAGGTTCTGGGTGAACGGGATGCACCAGTCTGTCATGCTGTTCCCACATCAGGAAGCCTAGACAATTTCCTTTCTCAAGCCAGCCCTCAATATCATCTGTTGTCTCGTACATGCTCGAACTCTTCGTACCATAGCTTTCGATCGAGGCGTCCCAGTCGGGCAAGTCGCAGTAAGCTTTTGCTTCTTGGATGGCGGTGTAGTATTCGGCGGTCCCTGGCTTCTTTCCTGCATCGGTGTATTTTCTCCAGCAAGGTGTCTCGGGCTCGCAAGACACGCCGTACGTCTTTACGCGTGCAGGTGTGCGTCCACGACGTTGGTCTTTGATGAGTACATCATTCCAGGGTTTGATTGAATGTGAGATCAATTTCTCAATTGCACCATACAAGGTTTCAAACCCAGGATGAATACCATTGATGTAGGAAGTTACGCGGAATTCCGTCCCAGTATCTCCCGTAAATTCGGCTTCGCAAGGTAATCTTTGATGATTCAAGGACCAACCGGCCCGATCAGATTGTTTTCGATTCCACCCATTCTCTGATCGAGGTTCTGGTGCGACTTTGGCTTTACTGATGGATCCGAATAGATCTGCGACATGCACTGCTTCTCCGTCGAGATACAGAGATTTGCCATATATTAGTGGATACATCATAGGATCCACAATGGTATTCATCTGCTGTGCTGGATGTCGTCTTTGATCATGGGCTGCCAAAGTCGAATCCATGAACACAGCAATGCTCTCCTTCAACAAAGTCCGAGTTCCTTCGTCAACGATGGTGTCAGATTTGCAAATACCAGCTCCAGTATTGTAGACCAGGGTTCTTTTATCCTCTGGAAAGACACGAGCCTTGTCTTGGAGTTCTAGAAGACACCATTCCCAAGCTTTCGTACTGATCAATTTCTGGCCGAGTGCTTTTTCACGTAGTTTTGAAATGGCTTTCTCATCAAGGACTTCTTTGAACCAGTTTGGTCTGTCGGTAATCTTGTCCATCAGAGTAAGCATTGCGAGCTCTCGGGCAGTGGTAGGAAGATCTTGAGCCCATTCCAAAGTGGCACGAGTGAATCGATCTTCAAGGTGGAGTTCGAGCTTGACTGGGAGTCCTCCAAAACCGGGGACGAAGAGCGAGGCATCGGTGCCGTTCTCAAATGGCGGTGGGAAGGAAAAGGGTGACTCTATGCAATGAATAGGATGAGGATGGTTCATCTTTGTTTTCGTACTTCAATAACGGCTCGGGCTGGAAAGAAAAATTCCAAAACACTTGGAGGCTCTTCATTTTTGTTCCTTGCTGTGGAGCGTGTTGTTTGTATCGTGTCGCAAATACCAATTTCGAAGCTGATGACTCAATTGCAGCCTAACATGGAGCTTCCTGTTTGGGATGATTTCACCCGACATTGTGCCATAAATTAGAGTAGGAAGCCACAATTGCGAGTGTATCACACAATCTCGTGGTGTCTCAGAAGATTGTCCACCATTTCGACAGTCACGAATGAATGCTTGATCGGCTTGATCGAGTCGGAAATGATCACCGAATTACTCAAAGAGCAATTACAGTATGGACAGCGACTGATGATTGTACGGTGGTAATAGGACTTGACTGATCGATGAGAACGGATGATGGCACGAAACCGCTTGACGATGCTTGCAGTCCTGTGCATTCTTATGGCGTCAACTGCAATGCGGCCAACGCAGTGTTGGACGCCGCTTACTGAGATGAAAGCTCCTGGGTCACAGTAGCAGAGGAGGTATCATCTTGATCAGAAGCAAGCTCTTGACGCTTCCCGATACTCGGCGGGGATAAGTCCTGCCAAGATCTTCCATGGCTGGTCTCCGACGAAAACATCGCTCAAGATAAATTTTCGCTGAGGTTCGTGATGTTGAAGAAGACGAGACGGACATAATTTACCTGTAGGTTGCGGAGTTAAGGAAGCTCTTTGGCAGGATTTCGGCCGAAGCGTCATAACCATTTGGGTAGATAAATAGGTGCAGGTCAACTCGCCATTGCAGTGCGAAAATCGAATTCAAACACCAATTCTACTTTGAGATCCTCACAAGAAAGATATCAATCATGGTCCAAACACTTCCTTTCGGCTCCTCAGGCATTGAGGTCAACACACCCGGCTTCGGTGCAATGGGTCTCTCTTTCGGTCTTGGTACCAACCTGACACCCGAGCAAGCTGAGCCTGTACTCCTCAAGGCGATTGAACTCGGTTGCACATTCTGGGATACTGCTGTAAGTAGACTGTTCTCTGGTCTAATTCGATCTCTGACTGACACGATGATTAGGTTGTCTACGCAGCAGGCATCAACGAACAACTCCTCGGCGACTTCATCCGTAAGCACAACGTCCGCGACAAGGTTTTCATCGCCTCCAAGTGCGGTTTCGCCGTCTTCGAAAAGGCTGGCGTGACGAACTCTGCCGCACATATCAAGAAATACATCGATGGCACGATTGAAAGACTAGGCTTCACACCTGACCTTTACTATCTCCATCGTATCGATCCCAACACTCCTTTGGAAGAGTCAATTCCTGCTCTGGACGAGATTCGAAAGGCCGGCAAAACGAAGTACATTGGATTAAGCGAGTGCTCAGCAAAGACCCTTAGAAAGGCCAATGAGATCGCAAAGATTGATGCCGTGCAAGCTGAATACTCGGCGTTCGAGACTGTCCATGAGACTGATGGATTGATTGAGGCAATTAGGGAGTTGGGAATTGCATATGTGGCTTACAGTCCTCTGGGCCATGGATGGTTGGTCGATGACTTTAACTTCAAGACGCCCGATGACTTTGCTCCTGACGACTTCCGCCGTAGTTGTAAGTTCAAGCCTTTTTTGTTTCGTTCCGAAAGTAAACTGACTGGTCATTTAGCTCCCAAATTCCAAGGCGAGAACTTCTACAAAAACAGAGCCATCGTCGACGAGATCAAGAAGTTGGCCGACAAGAAGGGCTGCAGCATCACACAAGTTGCTCTTGCATGGGTCGCTGCTCAAGGCTTCATTGCCATCCCTGGTACCACCAAGCCTCACAGACTGGAAGAGAATTGGGCTTCCAGAAACGTCGAGCTGAACGAGGAAGAGAAGGCCGAGATGAGGAAGATTGTCGACAGCGCGAAGCCCCACGGCAACAGATACAGCGAGGCCAACCAGAAGTTGGTCGGTCACTAGAGATTATGACGAGGGGCAAGAAGAAAGTATGTAAAGTGATACGAATCAAGTATAAACAGAGAAAGTAAATTGTTCCAGCCATTGTATCCCGGTGTGTCCCAAGCTCTTTTTCAGTGCTCTTGTGGCAGCGGCTTAGATCAAAGCAGCGACGAGGCCGCCAGCGGCATAGGTGACGGCGTTGGAGAGCCATGAGTCGGCATGGCCAGCAGCAGCACCCGAAGAAGTCGCAGTGCTTGCGCCGCTGCTCTGAGAGCCTGAGGCCGTCGATGAAGAACTGGAAGTCTTGCTTCCACTAGCCGATGATGAGGTCGCTGACGCGGCGCCTGACGAAGCGGTGGCTCCACGCGAAAGCGAGGTAGGCGTCGAGGCAGCAGAGCAGGTTCCAGCAGTGTTCTGAGCGCAACAGGCGACGTTGCCGGAGCTGTCTTGACCGCAGTAGCTGCCACTTGCGCAAAGCCCAGCGGAACAGCAGGTGTATTCGGTGCTATCGAAGCAGACGCCATTGCAGGTCGATTGGCCCACACCGCAGGAGGGTGCAGCTGAAGAGGAGGCGGTCATGCTGCCGGTTGCGCTGCCGCTCATCGAGGTGGTGCTTTGTGCGGCGGCAAAGGCGGCGAGAGCGGTGATGAGGATGAAGCGCATCTTGGTTTTTGGGATTGAGACCGGTTGAAGGTAGCAGCAATTTGAGATGATTGTGCAGCTGGAGGGTAATGCTGTGCTGGTGGATGGAGAGCAGGGTATGATGAACAAGAAGGAACCACAAAAACCTACGGCATTCAGTGCTTTTGTATCAGCCCACTCTTGTGTGGCAGTGCCTGTTTACGAGGTGGAAAAGGTCCGCCAAGTTGGTACCTGACAAGGTTGCAGGGATTGAAGGATGATCGTCATGTCGCAGGTTTGTATTTTGGGTGTTTCGGTGACAGGCCTTGAGGCCGCCTTATCGCCGTTGCTGGCACGCCGCGTGGCTCAACGGCTCAGCCTTGTGTCCAGGTATATCTCATCACGCTAAACAAAGAAACGTCAGCTTCCTGTCTGTCGGGCTATGGAGAAAGCTGCATACTGCTTTCCCAGTTGCAAAAACGCGAATATCACCTGTACTTTCGAATCCCCGTACCATGAGTTTACTAGAGAGTAAGAGATGGTATTCGAACGGAAACATCGATTCAGCACTCCGGATGCGAAAAGGCATGGAAACCTACCTTAGCTATCGAAAGATAAGTTGGTTTTGACATGGTCACCGTGTCCCGAGAGAGCAAGTATCAAAGTCAACTCTCCGTGGACAAATTCATATAGACGAAAGCATCTTGCAAATTGCCAGCCAGTCTCGAGACCCGTGCTGCCGACGGAATCAAACGAAGAGTCAATCCATCTTCGAGCGCAGACAGGCATCAGATGTTAGGCATCAAAAGGCAAGATGATTCTCATGCTGCACAATCAGTCCAGAGAGGGCAAGCATGAGTATCAACTCTCGCTGTACATGTGTCTTGTGACAAACATGTTCTTGCAATTTGATATCTAGTTCCAAGATCCGTGCTGCTGATGAGAGCGAGAACCAGGACTTGAACGAGATATGATGATCGGCACACGATGCCTTTCAGAGGTATGTGTCTCCAAAGATAGAGTCGTCCCTATGCGAGATGATTTCTGAGATCAAGGATGTATCCGAAGAGAGGTCAGAAGGCGCCGGCTCTCACCGGACCTCCATCCGATGTCAATTGCTTTGTGCATCTTGACAGGTGTCTTCGGGTGGTATGTGGAAGTCGTAAGAAGAGAATCAAGATTGCTCCTGTTTTGTTTGGTTGGTTGGTTTGACAGCTTCACTTTGTTGTGAAAGCTCCTTCCGTGTTTGCGCAGCTTCCTCAGTCGACGCTCTCCTCCCTTATTCAATCCACAACGCGCACCGTCTTTCCATCATCAAACCATGACCGCAACACTTCTTTCATACAGTTCTATCTCACTCATCTCTCTGCGCGCCCACGCTCTTACTTCACAAGACATTGCGTCAGCCGAAGCGCTCAACCTTTGGAAGCCCACTGCTGCACACAACACTCGCGGTGAAACCCAGCCTTTCCCATTCAAAGACTATCCTCACGGCGTAACCGGCACCATCAATACATCAGCCGCTCACATCGACTCAATCTTCGACGACAGTATGTCTAACTGGGACACTCCCGCTGACGACAGCGCTTGGGGCGACGCCGCTGCGCAGCCCACCATCGCCGTCACTTCAGAAGTCACCCTCGACGCTGCTGATGCCGCTCAATTGATCGCCGAGGATGAAGGCATTGTCGAGCCTGCTCCTCCCGCCGCCGAGATTCGCAAGTCTTCGCTTGTTGATCTTACCAACGGCAGCCGCGAGGCCGTCACTGCTCATCTGGCACAGGGCCTGGGTCCTCACCAGCTCTTGCCTCGCTTCGCAAGTGAAAAGTCTGCGCCCACTTCGCCCACTTCGCCCACCCAGCCTAACGTCGTCGCTTCACTTGACGAACCCGACGGCGCCGCCTCTGCTGTCGACACTGTATCCAGCTCTCCAGTCACTTCCCCTCTGTCTACCCGCAAGCCTGCTCCTCATCGCAAGCTGCAAGTCATGGCACAAGAAGCTCCTCTGCCCGAGTCGCCTGCTCCCGTGCCTCCTGCCGTTACAATCGAACCTGCTCCCATCGCTCCTGCCGTTACAATCGAACCTGCCATTGTCAACGACGACAGCCGCTCATCTTCGATCGTCATCGTCGAGCCCGTCACTGACCAGTTGGACCCCAAGGCCGATGAATGGGTACCTGATGTCGCTGTTGAGCTTTTGCCTCCGTCGTGCCCCGTCTCACCCACCTCCAAGGTCCCTATCCCTGATGGCGAGGCCCTCATTCTGACTACTTGCCGCGAGGCAGAGTGTATTTTGATCTGTGATCCCGTCCCCAAGAGTTGGTCGGTTCCTACTGTCGTCAGCTCCCTTTCTGACGGCGACTTCTACGACGACCCCGTGATCGGCGGCGTCCATCAAAAACTACTGTGCAATTACTCACAGTACTTCGCCGCTGCTTCGGACGCTGAGAGCACCGATGGCGATGCCGAGCGTGATCAGATCGTGAGCAGCCCCTCCTGGGCAGTCTTCCGTCAGTGGGTCTACACTCACAAGCACCACGCCAAGTCAGCCAATGGCATGCAGACCAACATCCTGAGCAACGATTTGAAGACGCTTGTCCAGCTCTGGCGCTTCGCTGCTCGCATTCAGGCCCCTTTGTTCGCAAACACCATTGCCGACGTCCTTATTTCGAGCGTCATCACCGCCGACGATCTATTTGAGGCCGCTGAGGAGATCGACAACCTTCTTATGATTGTCAGCTCCACGAGCAGATTCCGCCTTCTGATCAGTCACGTTGTCATCCTCAACGGCATCCAGCTCGACTACCAGGACTACTTCAAGTGGCCTAGATCCTTGCTCTGGAGCATTTTGGCTTGGCTCAGCATGGGCAAGTCGACTTACGTGGGTACTCAGATGTACTCCCAGGCCAACCCTTGTGTCTATCATTTGCACACCCTCGGTCACAGCTGCAATTCTTAGAGGGAGACGAAATTGAAGTAGGACGAAATTGAAGCGGGATATCGCGATCTGTTATGGAATGGGTGCAAAATGGGATATCTCGAAGGTCCAGGAATGAAATGTGGTTTCGCTGTGCAGAAACAGCAGAATGTAACATAATGACTCACGCTTTTACGTAGCTTGCTCACAAGGCCTCTTATCATAAAAACAGAGGGAACAAACCAAGCTCTCTGTGGACCACTCATGACTTCTCAATTCCATTGTGCATTTTGACAGCTAGTGCTTATGGCCCTACTGACCAGGGAGAGCGTATGTACAATTCCTGCAAGGCGCTGAAGATTGAACTGTGGTGGTTCCTCGGACTTGGCTAAGCTCGGAAAGACAGCGACCAAAACGAAAGCAGGGGCCTGTTTAAGCTCATAAGTAAGCTATAGCTTCTCCGAGCACGTATTGCATTCGGGCTAGTCCGGCTAGATTGGTGCCTTAAGAATGCTATATTAAGAAAACGACTAACCATCGCAAGTAATTAATCCCCCTTTGCTGTTACTATAACAAGTGTAAGACTACTCGAAGCATAAGGTGAATAGTCTCTCTATAGGAGAACTTTAGTAGACAGTAACCATACGGTCTAGACCTAGCGCGCGGGATTAGTTATAGTAGTTCATTTTATCTATAGCTTCTATAGGATGCGGACGGAGCGACTCCTTAAGAATAAGAATAAATCTGTTAGTAGTGTAGAGTAGAGGATGTAGCGACGCAGGTCTATATAGCTATAATATGTCGACTTATTAATCTCTACCTTAAATGATAGAGGAGAGGCGAGTAGGAAGATTAACTAATATATAGACATTAAATTTTGCAAGACGTAAATTAAGGGGTTAGAAGCTTTATAGTCTCTACAAAAATGTCTTATACTTGTTAGTCCCGAGCAAAGCATAGAGCGGCTCGGTAAGGAGCTAAATAACTGCCTACATAAGGGGCGGCTATCTACGGCATATAACCTTAACACTAGGGCTCTTATAGTTCTTAATCTTTTTGCTTTAGCCTAGTTAAGTAGTCTAGCCTAGTCGAGTAGTCTAGCCTACTAGGGCGGTCGGCTTAACTAGAGGTAGATAGTACGACGCGTTTAACGTCTAGGCGGGATCTAAAGTCGAATTTAAGGAGGTCTAAGCTAGCTACGGTTAAAGGCGTAGGCTAATGTCTAGTATAAAGGACCGCTACGATAGCCCTAAGTGTCGTAAATTTCTCTAGGGGCATGTCGAGAGAGGTTATTCTCGTACAGAAGTTTTCGTAGACCTTAATCTATCCTTCCTTATGTTGCTTATAGGCCGTAGTCTCTCGATAGTTGTTTCATTAATTAAAGAATGCGGCATCTTCTATTATAATCGTAATGGTCTAATTAGCGCGTAAGCTCTTTCTCTAGTACTTTACTAACATAGCTATAGTTTAATCGAGTTTCCTAGCTCTTACGGTAGATGTTAGGATCCTATGCACTGCTTAGATAGTGTATACTAGTACGTACGAGCTAATAGTCGACTCGATAGGCTAAGAGATAGTTTTACGATTAGAATGTAGAGGAGAATCGGCATCGTATAGGGGGGCTAGGTTCTTCGCTAGGGTTTTCGCTAGGTTTGTCTTTTAAGGTGTTAGGAGGTTAACGTACGTTACGAAATCATAATTACCGTATAAGCGCTTAGGTGCTTTTAGGTGCTAGGGGGCGCTTTAGCTTACTTTACTACTAAATAATCCTACCTACGTACGAGACTATCTACTAGACTGTCTAGTAGACTATCTACGAAATGTTCTCTACTACCGTCCGTATACTTACTATAAGACTGTCTTATAGATTATCTGCTAGCTAGTCTACAAAATTGTATAGGAAATTATGTACTAGATCGTCTACTAGATTGTCTGCTAGATCGTCTGCTAGATCGTCTACTAGATCGTCTACTAGATTGTTAGCTATCTCTTCTAGTATACTATTAGTCATTCTTAGTTATAATGTCGTACGCTATTAATCTAAAAACAAAAGAGCAAAACTATTAATGTAGTAGACTATTATTAAGCTATCCTACGATGATCACCGACCTCCCCTTTAATTCTTCCTCCTACGCTAAGCTCTAGATCTAGCTAATATCCTTTCTTTTCTCCTCTTATTCGCCTTAGCCCTTTCCCTTATCCTCTTCTCCTTTACTACTACTACCGCCGTACGCTCCTATTATTTAATCTATTATCTCTTCTTCTCTTTTAATTCTACTGCGCTTTTAATAACCTCTACCTCCTACTTCTAGTTATATATAAAGTTATACGTTACCTAATCTGCCGTGTTATTAATATATATCTCCTTACTACTACTACCTACGCGTTCGTCTACTAGAACTACGTAGATCGTATAGTAAACCTACGCTAGGCTATATATCTTCCGCCCTTTTAGCACCCCTCCTATCGGTCTTACTAGTAATAGCTTAATCTTGTTTAATCTACTATCCGTATCTGCCGACCCTAGAGGGTTCGCTACTTTAAACACGTCGACGTATATTCTAGTATAGTGTCGATAGACTATATCGTCTATCTCGTCGTCCTTTATGCCGCCTATCTTAACTACCTCGACCGCGTTTCTAGTGTCCTTTACTATAANNATTAGACGNAAACGTATAGGAAGACGACNATTAAATNGTACTAGTATTCTATTACCCCTTATTGCATTATACTCCTAAACCTAGACCTAATCGCGTCGTAGCTTACCTATGCCTTACTAATTTAGCGTATAGCGTATATAATCGCGTTAGGTAGCATTACTATGCTCTAGATCGTCCCTAGTTACCCTTCGACATTTAATCGAATAATGTAACTATATAAGGTAGTCGTCGACCTAGGAAGGGTCGTCTTTAATCCGATCTAGATCACCTATTCTATATGTCGCTAAGGCAGCCGTCGCTTCTATAAGCCTACTCTCCCTTATAAAGATAGCTATTACTTGCTAAAAGTGTCTACTATCCTCCCCCCCTAACATCTAGACAACCTCGCTAACCGGCTACTACATATCCTCGTCCCGACGTCTATATCTCTCTAGTAGGCGAAAAAACTTCGCTACTAGTATCGGGTCCGTAGGTAATATAGGCTCTCCTGCCTCTTCTATACATTTAGCCTATGTCTTTCGTTTCTATAGCTCGAGTAGGTCCTACATAGCGAGCATATTTAGACCGCGGTAGTAGTAGTCTATTAATTAATCTTCCTAGTTCTCTCGGCAATTTGTTCGTCTAAAGCCCTCTTTTACGTAGGTGTAATGTTTATGTTTAGGGTGACTTATATCCTAGTTAGGCGTATAGCTATATAGTTTAATTATGTTAACGTAGTACGTTAGGGCATGCTACTTAGGAAAGTTAAAGTGCCTATTATCTTCTTCTACTTTTAGATTTCGATACTTTCGAAACACCTCCTTATGTTAATTTATTCGGTATAGGGCAAGATTAAAGTATCGTAGTGTCTTAGTGTCGTAACTTTTATATATAGTAAGTATAATAAAGTCGATAGTCGCTCGGAGAAAGCGAATTGCCTCCTTTACATCCTTAGTACCGATCTCCTCTAGTAAAGGTACAAATATAGGGAGGATTTGTCGAAGGATGCTCTTCTACTCCGCTCCTATCTACTATGTTACTAAAGATATGTATAAAAACACTCTTAGCGTTAGATATAGAGGGATCGAAGCAAATCGCTAGTCGATAATAGCCTTAATAATACCCTTTACTACTTTTAACTTATCTACCTTTCGGCGATGCCTTATCGCGCCTTTACTTATAGCTTCGACCCCTTAGCCTATTCGTGTTCCTTTCTTGTTCTAAGCCTAATCCGCTATAAATGCATTAGTCTATANGCGTCGCCCTCTTTAATGCATAGTAGTAACGCTAGCAGTATTAAACCTAGCCTTTCGTTTAAGTGCCGAGCCTTAGCCTTAAGATTGCTAATCGATAAATAGACTACATAAGCCTATAGGTCTCTAGACTAGAGTATTAACTTTATTTTATCGCTCGCTACGATTAACGGCACAATAGTTGCACTAGCCGTCTCTAGTTCCTAATTAAGCGTCTCCTACATATTCTACTACTAATCCCCTAATAGCATGTTAGTATACCTCCTACACGTATGCTCCTTATCGCTCTATGCTCGATAAGGAGCATAGTATAGGTCGTCGCGAAATCCCGCGTGTCCTAAGAAGAACTAGACTGCTCGTATAGGGTCGCGGTACCGTATCTAATATGTAGTAGAACCTATAGTACTTATCTCGCTTAGCATAGTAATCGACTTCGAGACCTACGGTCCTATATCTACTATAGTTAAGATATTCTCCATTTTTCTCCTTAGCTCCTTTGCCGATTTCTAACTAAGCATATTTCTTAAATCGTTAATACTAGGGTGTTTTAAAAGTCGCTCGATGCCGTTCTTAGATATGTTCTCTCGGTAGATCTATCGTACAAAACTAAAGTCGAACTTGCCGTTAAATCCGTTAAGCAATATTGCTTTAGTCGTATCCTATGTTAGGCATCTAGTGCGTGTTAGTAGAGCAATTAGGACCGCCGTTCTAGGCTTATCCGTACCGTCGAAGAGGCACTCTAGCCCTATAGCCGAATTAATCCTTAAATGCTTCGCGTACTTTAGTCGCTACTATAGACGATAGTTGCCTACTAGTTAGGCGGATTATAGCGGAACTAGTATAAGACACTGTCTTACTAGTGTTACTAAGGAAGTCTTAGGATCCGTCTATATCTAATACCTAGGTAAGGCTCTTATCTATAGACATGTCATTATCGCTGTCTTTAGAGGTAAGAGCGGCAGGTATCGTCTATATTACGCTTACGATCTCTGCCTAGTCTGTAAAGCTGCTAGTTAGGTTATAGTCTTCGTTAGCCTCGAATCTAATGTATTCTTCTAATTCGTTATCTCCTTCCTCCTCTTACGTAACTATAGCCTTAAAGCTCCTTATATGCTGCTATAGTCCGCTTTCTATACGCGATAATAACGTA